CTTCAGAGTGGAACACCTCCGACAAGGGCTCACGCACCGTGACGAGCGCCCCTGGCCCCTTCGCTGCCGATCCCCGCGATGTTGGCGCGGCCTGGGCCCCCCGCGCGGGAAGCCGCTGTCGAGAAATCGAGGAGACGACTGCGAACGCCCCGTTGATCTCCCGCGGCGGCGGCTCCACGACCTCTGCGAGCCCGACGCCGAGGCCGCTGCCGATACTTCGGCCTCGGCGAGTTCGGGCGGCCCAGGAGACAGTCGGGGCCACTCGACCCCGGCTAGCGGCGAGCGGTGAAGCTCCTCCTCCAGCTCGAGCGATGGCAGCAGGCCGCGTGGAGCTGGCGCGCCAGAGGGCCAATCGGGCGAAGCTGAGAGCCGCGATCAATGTGTGGGCTGCCCTTCTTGCAGAGGCACAGCGTGCGCGCGGCCGCCATCGGCAGCTTCGACAAGCACATGGCCAGCTTCCTGGAGTGGGCCGAGGTGCCGTCGCTGGAGACCATCACGGTGGACCGCCTGGGCGGCCTCCTGGCGGCTTACTTGGGCAAGCTAGTCTGTTGCGGGGAGCTCGCGGAGACGGGCTCGCGGCTGCTGGCGCCCACGCAGTGCAGGCTTCCGCGCGTGCCGAGGCCCAGGCACGGAGGCCTTCCGTTGGCGCGGGCCGCGCTGCCAGGCTTTCGAGTGCACTCCAGGGGCGCGCCGATGATGCCCGTCGGGATGCCCATCATCTGCCTCGTCGGGATCGCCGCGCGGGATGACGACTTCGAGTGGGCGGGCGCCAGGGCGTTGGCGTGGGGTGGCATGGTCCGCCTGCCGAGCGATCTCGTCCACGTGGCGGCCGAGGCGCTGGTGGGGCTAGGGCGCGAGGCTGCTCCGCGCTGGGCGCTGTTGTTGCACCCGATCGAGGGTTCGGCGCGCAGCAAGACGCTCGCGCAGGACGAGGGCGCGCTGCTGCGGAGCGCGGCTTGGCGTGGCGGCGGCGGGGGCTTCCTGCGAGAGCTCCGCGCTGCCCGACCCGCTGGCGGGCGCCTGTGGTCGCTCGGGGCGGCCCAGCTCAACGCGGAGTTCCGCCGTCGGCTCACTTTGGTGCGAGGTGCGCTCGACGTGGTCCCGTGCCAGCTGCCGCCCCCGGCGGCATTGTGCGCCGCCGCCGTGGAGGGCATGGGGCTGAAGGTGCTGCTGGGCCGACTGCGCCGTGCCAGCGCGCAGAGCGCCGCTCGGTGCTCGAGGCGCGTCCGCTGCGTCGCCGAGCTCGAGAAGGTCAACGAGGGCGTCGCGATCTGGGCCGAGCAGGTGGAGGCCGACATCGGCCAGATTCTGGGCGAGCAGCGGCGTCAAACGTTTCGTGGCCCGGCAGCGGGCCCCGCCGAAAGCCCAAATGCCAGCGTTCGCATGCGCCCACCGCGCCCATTTTGGCACACCCCTCCCACGTTTCGTGGCCCCATAGAAGGGGCCCGACCGAAGGCCAAACTGCGAGCGGTCGCGTGCGCCCGCGGCGCCCATTGGCACGCCCGTCAGACGTTTCGTGGCTCGGCAGGGGGCCCCGCGGACGGCCCAAATGCCAGTGTTCGCATGCGGCCACCGCGTCCATTCTGGCACACCCGTCACACGTTTCGTGGCCGTGCATGGAGCCCCGCGGGCGGCCCAAATACCATTGTTCGCATGCGCCCGCCGCGCCCATTTTGGCACGCCCCTCGCGCGCTTCGTGGCCCTGCATGGAGCCCGCAGACGGCCAACATGCTAGTGTTCGCATGCGCAGCACGTCCACTTTGGCACACCCCTAACACGTCTCGAGGCCCTGCAGGGACACCAGCCGAAGGCCCAGATGCCAGCGTTCGCATGTGCCCATGCGTTTCGTGGCTCCATAAGGAGGCCGACCGAAGGCCCACATTCCAGCGTTCTGATTTTGGCACATGCGCCCACCGCGCGCATTTTGGCACACACACACACACACCTCACACGTTTCGTGGCCCTATAGGGAACCCGACCGAAGGCCCAAATGCCAGCCTTCGCGTGCCCACCATGCACATGTGGGCACACCCCTCACACGTTTCGTGGCCCTGCAGGGAACCCCGCCGAAAACCCAAATGCCAGCGTTCGCATGCGCCCACCGCGCCCATTTTGGCACACACTGCACGCATTTCGTGGCCCTACATGGGGCTCCACCGAATTCTCAACTGCCAACGCTCGCACAAGGCCCCGTAGGGAGCCCCACCGAAGGCCCAAATGCGAGGGTTCGCATGCGCCCACGGCGCTCATTTTTGGCACGCCCCTCACACGTTTCGTGGCCCCATAGGGAGCCCCACCGAAGACAAAACATGCCAGCGTTCGCATGCGCCCACCGCACCCATTTTGGCACACCTTCCACACGTTTCGTGGCTACATAAGGGACCCTACCGAAAACCCAAATGCCAGCGTTCGCATGCGCCCAGCCCCACGAGGAGGTTCCCCGAAGGCGATACCTCCAACCACGGTACTCACAACTGCATATGTTTGGGCCCTTCGCCCGGATAATTTCATGAAGTTGCTCTTGCACTAGGGGCGGCACTAATTGGCCCCCCCTGCTCGAGTTCAAACAACCGTTTCTTCGATGCTTTTGTGACGCTCTTGGGGCGTTCTTGGGCGCTCTTGGGGCCATATTGGAGCATTTATGGGTGCCTCGCTCTTGTGCGATGTTGGAGCCATCTCGACGCTACAAGAGCCAGTCGGGATCCAGTGGAGCCAGCGAACAGATGCGGTTTTGAATGATCTTGCCTTCTCGGGGCGTCCTTGCCAGGCTCCGTGGCCGCTCGGAACCGTCTTGGGGGCTTTCGGAGCCACGTTGGACGCCATCTTGACCCATACAAGGCTTTTTTGCAATCTTGGAGGCAGGAGAGGGAAAGAGCAGAGATAACCCCTCCCGATGGGGCAGAAAGGGGGCCTGGACGAACTAGGTCGCTGAACCACCTGCGTCCAGAGTTCGATCTGTGCCCGCCCTCGCCCGAAAGCGCTCGTGGTGGTATCAGACCAGCCAGCTGAGAGACAGGCGTGCAATCTCTCGGCGACCGCGTAAGACCCTGTCGGATGCCAGCCACCTGCATTCGGCAGCTTCGCGCCGCGTCAACGTGGCGGCGACCCCAGGGTGGGCGTGCAAGTTTGAAGGCCGCTGGCGGCCTGAACCGGGCCAACCTTGCACGATCTTTGGCGTCAGGCAGCGGAGATCTCGCAAGCTAGACCGGCAAAGTCTTTGATGAGGCCTCATCGCTCCTGAGCGTCCCGGAACGCTCTCAGAGCGCCCTGGAACGCTCTGGACACATTCTGCAGACCCGATGTCTTCCAGAGATTCCCGAGATTCTCTACTTATCCTCATCAGGACCGACCCTCGTCTTGCCTCAATCTTACACGAGCGAAGCCAGCGTCCACGTTCAGGGGCGTCCACAGGGGGGGACTGGGCAAGATGTGGGCGCCCCACGCCGCCCATGAGCGCGGGGTTTTGTCATCGACAGCCTATCGCCGATCTATCGGTGATGTATCGCCGATTCCAAGGCAATCCCCCCCCCCTGAGCCAGTCCCACCCTAACTTTCCCACTCGTGCGTGTGCGTCATCACAGCAAGAGCCAGCCGTGCCGATCTGGCTTTCTGAGGGCTTCTGGGCACTTCCTGCCTCTGCCAGTATATCGCGCTGGCGCGCTTTCATCGCCCTTGTTCGACTCGATCGGATCGATCCGATCAATCCGATTCGACGGCGATATCGGCAGGTCCGATCCGACCCGATTCTGACATTCCCACGATGCGATACGGCCCGATGCCTGCGTGGCGCCGTTGTGTTTTGTGGCGCGGCCGATCCGATCCAGTCCCGACCCCGTTCCGATGGCTGCACGATCTGGCGCACGTCCCAATCTGACCAGACTTCCGTTCGATGCTGGTCGATCTTGCTTTCTCCCAACCCTCCCTTGGTTGGGTTCTCGATTTGACTAGAGCACCGTGGTCTCCATCACTCGCTCCTCCCCCTCCTCCTTCCTCCCTCCTTTCTCCTCCTCGTTCTCTTCCTCCTCCTCCCTGCCTCCCAGCGTAGGGTTGTCCCACGGGGACCACCATGCAACCTTTCGTGGGCTCCTGGGAGGTTTAGCGGAGGGGAGTCCCACGGGGACCACCATGAGACCTCGCCGTCCCTGGGGTTCTGCGATCTGCGAATTTGTCGCCACTTTCCTGGGCTCCTGGGAGGTCCAGCGGAGGGGTGTCCCACGGGGACCACCATGTGACCTCGCCGTTCCTGGGGGGTTGCGATCTGCGAAACTGTGGCCATTTTCGTGGGTTCCTGGGAGGTCCAGCGGAGGGGTGTCTCATGGGGACTAGTTACCTTGAGACGTCGCCGTCCCTGGAGGGCTGCGATCTGCGAATTTGTCGCCACTTTCGTGGGCTCCTGGGAGGTCCAGCGGAGTAGTGTCCCACGGGGAAGACCATGAGACCTCGCCGTCTCGGGGGGCTGCGATCTGGGCACTCGGGCACTAGCAGCGCTTAGCGCAGGGCGCTGTTCTGTCATAGCGCGCATGGCGCTGTTCTGCAATGAGAGCCTAGCGCGATGCGGTGTTACTCCCACGAAGCATGTCTCCAGTTCCCCCTCTCATCAGTATGTTTCCACGCCCCCTCGTGGTCGCCTTCCTGCCAACGATCTGACTCTTAATAGTGATGCCGCGAATGTGAAACACTTGACTCTGGCTCAACGTTTTTTGGCGAAGCGTTCAAGAGCACGGCAGATCCTTGTGCTTGCTTTTGTATTGAGCGGTCCGATGTATAGTCGCCTCATGTGCACACCAGGTTGGGTACGTCCCCGGGTAGTTTCCCCAGGACCGGTTTTTCATCCCGGGTTATTGTTTGACGGTCCTGGGGCCCGGTGAAGCCCCCAAGATATTTGGTAGCAGAAGTTCTTTTGGTGACAAAGCGGGGAGGCCTGCGGGGCGAGATGCGCGTTGTTAGGCTACCCAGTATGCCCCCGCGTTCGATGCTGATTCTGGTCCTGCCCGCTGTAGGTGGTGACTCTGCTTCAGAAGATGGAGGTCGCCGTGAAGGCCGAGGGCGAGAAGGAGAAGGACCTCTTCGGCGCCCGGCCTCCTTTGCTCTGGGCCCCCCCCCTGGGCTCCCTCTTCGAGGCTCGAGGACTTCGGGCGCTTCCGTGGGTCCCTTGAGGCATCGTCATGTCTCCCCGGGCCCCTCGAGTCGTTTTGGAAGCTTTCGTGATGTTCGGACGTTTTCGTAGGATTTTGGCGGTTTTCCAGCCTCGGGAAGCTTTCCAGCAGCTGCGCCTCGCCGTGGGCGTTCCACGGGTGCCCGAATCGTCCCGAACGGCTGCCAGAGACCCGAGTTATGGCCGAAGGCCATGCCCAGTCAGGGGCGGCGACAGGGGCGACTGCCCAATCGTACATTCATCGCCTCTCGGGGTCCTGTGTACCCCAGTCCAGAAGCGTGTGGTTTTGCTGCCCCTCTTTGTCTTTTCTTCATCATCCCTTTGGTTTGTCCGTTTTCCCCCTTCCGTTTGCCCTTTACCTAGTGTGGTTATTCTGTCTTTCCATGACAACACGCTGGTTTGAGTTCGTTTTCGCGTATTGCTTTCAAACGCGCGATTTGAACAAAAACAGTGTAATTGGCACATGTGCTTTTCCCGTCCGAGTGTCTTCCGCCTGAGCAACATCTGCTTGCGCTGCAGCGTTGGCCGCGTTTCTATGCCAGTGCATCGTTTCAGGTCCGAAACGGCGTTTTCGCTCCAGCGGAGGCCAGCGCGAGCGCACCTGTCTTGCCATACTCCCCTCTCCCTCCCCCCTTCTGCCTTGTACCACTCCTCAGTTTAAGTACTATCCTGCCCTCTCTCCTGACGCTGTCCAGTGCGGGGGCCGCCTCCCCCACGTATTTGCGAGACCATTCTATTGTGTTTGTGTTGTTGTGTGTTTTATGAGTGCCATATTTTCCTTCAGAATCACACACGCCCACCCGGACCGTCGTCGGAATGGTCATTCCAATGTTCTGTTTTCTGCTCGAGTCGTCTCCCACGTTTTCGGGCGTCCCGAATAGCGGTGTCGCCTCGGCGCCTGCTGCACTCTTGCCCCCTTCTACCATGGCCCACTGTTAGTGCTTGTCTTCCCTTTCCCCTGATACTGTACTATCTCCGGTCGGATTGTTCTCAGTCTTTCAAACCAGTGCACTCCTGCTCCAGCTTTGCTCGCATTCCACTATCGGCGCTTTTTTCTCCCGTCGTTCAGATTTGTGCGCTCGCCCCAGCGCGGGCCACATTCCTTGGTCGGATTCGTTCCTCGTCGTTGCCGTCCCCCTCCTTTTCCCTTGTACGCCTTCCTCTGGTCGACCTGCTCCTCCCCTTCCTCCTCCTCCTCCTCGTCCAATGTGCAAAGCCCCCCTTTATGATTGAGCATCGCACGAAGGGGGATTTTGGGGACCAAGCTCCCCTAGTAGATTTCACAGGTGCGGGGCCAGAGGGTCGTGTAGGCTGATGTCGGGTAGGATGGCGCGGGGCAGCGGGGTGCGTGCAAAAAAACTAACAGGGCAGGGTTCTGGTATTCACCCAGTACAATTTTAATGAAAATGAGATAACATCGGAAGCGCAACCAATCATGAGCATAGCATTTCTAGGATTCCCAGGGCACCTGAACACATTGGGGGTTACCAGAGTCGATTTGGCAGGTGACTCGAATCATCACGCGCCCCTCTCTTTTGAATTCCGTGCTATCGAGTGGAAGTTTGCAAGTGTGACCTGGACGCATGTGTTCCGTAGGGTGTCTTGGCCCAAAGTTTTTATAGGTGCTAAGAAGCACTCATGTTCGCATTTCTTTTTTTGATGGCATCGCCCGTGGCCGCATATATTTGCATCAATTGTTCGGCTGGGCCCGACCGGCACCAGAGAATAAGATCGGGGACACCTTGGAAGCAGGGGTGGATAGTGGAACTGCTTGAGAAACATGCTCTGGCATACACGCTGGATAGGTTCCCTCAGGAAGAAGAGAGCTGCCGCATAGTAGCATTAGCTTTGTTCTCCCCGGGCACTGTGTTGGAGGGGCCGCTGACACTATTGAACAGGGAAGAGCGTTTTTTGTTTGAACTCTGGGGGCGTCCTTCTGACTTTTTCTCTGCCCATATCTCCGCGATTGCCGCAGTGGACGATGAGGGGCCCCGTGCTGTTCACCCTGGGCGGTTCGTTCTGAATCGGAAAGATGTTGTTTTCGAGGTCTCACCTGCTCAATTTGATGATTTACTTGGCACTGGTTTGTCGCTAGCACCGATGCTACGTGCAACTTCTGTGAGTGCTCTGGTATCAGAGTGGCGCGTCGGTGCACCGTCTCTGTGTGTCCAACTGCCATATCCAATTGCTGCCCTTTCTTGCCGCTGTGACTAGACTAGGATTGGCTTCTTGGCAAGATGGTTCCAGCCAAAAGCACGACCTTATATACCCGATTTATTCAACAGGTTGTGGCCCACAGCAGAATGGCGAAACACACGCTCGGGCAAGCACGAACCTGAGGTCAACAGCGACGACAGGAGCGAATTCAACAAGTCGAATTTTTTCTGCTTCGCAGCTTCCCGTTTACGTGAACGGGCCCCTGCCATACTAAGCGGATCCATGTCTTCAGCCGGCCCCGAAGGAGCTGAAGACACAGAGGGAGATCTAGTGCAGCTTGTGCGCGGTTTCGATACATTGGCAGGGCAACTTGACATTGGGTCGGTTTCGAGTGCAATGAGTCGTGATTCTAGTGCAATTGATTCGTCCCATTGGGGGCTGAGGGTCTACCGGGCGGTGCACATCATTGAGTGCATGAGGTTAGCAGGCATGTTGCGTGACAGAGGCTCAGTGCGGCTATCCCTTGAACGTGCCTTGAACATAGCTTTGCCCGCAGATTTAGCACGTGTCGCATGCCAGCATCTCCGAAGCATCCAGATCCCATCGGGTGTTACGCTTCATCGGTATGCGTTGTTCCTCGATGTTGCGATCATGCAGTGGTGGGCGCACAGAGGTGGCCTGTCGGATTCAATATTGTACTTGTGGGCAGACTCGTCTCCTCAAGTAGGCCATGATTGGCTCCTCGCCGACGTGCGCTTCATTTCAAAGAGCCTCATTGTAGACTTGTACAAATCAGTAGTCAGACTGGAGCGGTGCCGAGGGCGCACCGAGAGGGATGCCGATTTTCTGTCCGATGATCTGAAAGCCGAGCTGGGGATGAATATTGTCCAACACATTCAAGTTCACAGCCTTGCCCCAGGAGGTTTGGGTCTAAAGGCCACGGTGGCTTGTATCCATATGCACCCGTCCTGCTCCCCCGGCGGCTCCTGATTGGCCAAGGGGCTTCGCATTTTCTGGCGACGCCTGCGGTGGGCACTGCGCCAGAAAACTGCCGTCGCCCGTTTTATTCCAAGTATCAGTCGCTCGCCCATGCACCTAGCCGCTGGAGGGGGTAGGACAGGTGCATATGAGTACATGTCACCGTTTCCGAAGGCATCTTCCCTGCAACATAAATTGAGCGTGTTGCTGCACATGCTGAAGTTGGAGACGTCGTCCGAAGCACATCTGCGTAGCATAATGGGTGCGTTTCGTTCGGGGGCTTTCGACATGGGCACGGAGCTGGGACTTGCAGAACACCAGAGCTTGGACTTGCAACATGTACTCTTACAAACTTCGAGCCTCGGTGAGCTGGTGGACGATGGCGGCTATCCTGATAATGGTTCAGAAACCAGCTCTTTCATGTTCGAGAACATGTTGCCCATTCCTGCGATGGCTCACATTTGCCGCAACCTCTCATCAGGCCTCCTGGACAAGATGCCCCACTATTCTGAATGGCTGAAGCAATTGAAACATGTCGCGCGATTCTTAGCAAACGGTGATGCTCGGCGACGGTTTAGTCACTTCTGTCTAGAAGGTGGTCCAGGGGCTCCATTTCAACGTGTATTTAGAAATGGTATTAAACAACATGTGGATTGGCGTTGGGGATTAATCGTTGAGGAGCTGAAGCCTTTACTGGATGATTTCATGATACCTTTGCGAGCTTTCTGGGGCCCAGGCAAGTTTCAACAGCATGCGCGCGATGGCCAGAGGGGGCGTACTCGCACAACAGATGCGGATACTGAATTAAACAATAGTATAGCAGCTCTAACTCCGATCATTAAGGGGGCGCATTTTTGGATTTGGGGTCATGCTTTGCTAGAAGTAGAAGCAATGATTCATGGATTGAGCGACTGGTCCGAGGGGTGCCCATGTCACGAAGCCCTATTCGTTCACAAGACCCGGTGGTTCAATGAGAAGGCCTACAACGAAGAACTTCGAGCTGGCAGCCCCAATGCGCACACTTGCCCCAACAAGGGCAACAGAGCCCCAGAACTTGCGGCCGGACGGGCCAAACTTGTTTTTGATGAGATTGCTGACAAGTGATATAGCAGCATTGTGGTGTTCGCGACCACATTGACAGCGCCCCCTATGGAGATGGAGTCTGTGCTGAAAGAATTCGATTCTATGGCTGCGCCAACTCCGCCACTCTGCGCTCATCTTCCCTACGTGGCTGACATTGGAGGCCCAAAGAGGGCACGCAGGGCACTCCTAGGGCTTGAAGATGGCCCTGAGGGGCCAATGGTGCTCTAAGAGGGCCCCGAGGGGGCTCCAATATCCGGCCCGAGGGCCCCAAGAGGACCCCATATAGTTCGCCCGGGGGGATCCAACTTGGGGCGCTTTCCTGGGGAAGTTTAGGGCTCTCTGGGGGGCACGGCCTACTCGCTTGAGACCTGTGTCAGAAGGGATGTGCGGGCATTGCACGGGCTCATGCTTGGTCTGTTCTGGAAGTCAAGCTTACGTTTTGGAGAGTGATCCCATGGCGGCTTTGCGCCCTGGCACATAGCGACCCAGCTGTTGTTCGAGAGTGCGCTCGAGATGCTGCGCAGCAGTGGGATCGACGGCCAAACCCTCTACAACACCACCGAGTTAGCGTGCGATTCTTGAACCCTGAGGCGACTCTTTGGGCCGATGGGAGTAGAGTAGAAGGAGAAGAGGATAGGTGGGAGTAGGGAAAGACACCGTAATCGAGGGGGGATGGGGGCTGCGTGG